GCCTGCAGCCCCACTCCCAGGGAGTTGGCTGCCACCCCCGCGCGGCTTCCTCTGATACAGACAGCAGCCTGTGGAGGCAAGTGGTTTCCCAGGAGCAGGGCAGGAGACTGCTTGTAACAGTGAACGTTAACCAATAACCCCAGACTTACTGGTTAACCATTTACATCCCTAATATAAAAGGCTGTAGGAAAAGGAAGGTCAATAATAATAATATTGATCATATCACACTTTTTCTATATCAAGAATAATAGTGAAAGACACTTAAAGAAATTCAAATTATAGACTTTGTTTTCACACATTTAAAATATTGTTTTCCATTGCCAGATACTGCAAAGGGAAGAACTGAGGTTTCTACCACAAATCTACTATTAAATTCTTGTTTATATATATATTTTTTAAATAAAACAAAATCTGTATTTACATCTAGCGTTTTGTTAATGCAATTCAGTAACATTAGTGGCACAAGACCTGCTCCTGCTCCCTTTGAAGTCTACAGGAGATTTCCCAAGCATAAATAAGATAAATCAAGCTTTACTTATTTTTCTGAATATCATGTATGTCTGTTTAAGTATAATTCTTTTATAGTGTATTTCTAAACAAAAATATACATAACAGTGCCAAAACAATTTAAACAAAAGTGTTCATAAGATCAAGTGATTTTTAAAAAAATCTTGTCTGTTTCCATGCAAGAGACTTACCTAGTTTAATGTCTCCATCCAATGTAAAAAGAATATTTCCAGCTTTTAGATCTCTGTGAATGATCTTATTTTCATGCAAGTAGTTCAGTGCCTCCAAAGTCTGCTTGCAAACTACTTTGATCTGAGGTTCTGTTAATGGCCTCTCAAGCTCTGAAAGCAAAACACATCCACAAATATAAAAATAATCCCATTTTTTGCATTTTTGTTTTTATTTTTACATAAATTTCCAGATTGATCATTATAAATCATAGTAAAAACGGTCAATCTGCCTCTGTCGCCAGAGGCATGTAGATTAGGCTACCAGGCATAGGAAAATGAAGCGGCGATTTAAATAATCGCCGCTTCATTTAAATTTGCATGGCTGCTGCGCTGAGCAGACAAACAGCTGATCATCCCAGGAGGCATACCTGGGTGGTCGACAAATGCCTTTGATGTCGACACCCGCGCGTCCAGACTACCGCGCTGAGCAGACAAACAGCTGATCAGTTCAGCGCGGCAGCCATGCAAATTTAAATGAAGCGGCGATTATTTAAATCGCCGCTTCATTTTCCTATGCCTGGTAGCCTAATCTACATGCCTCTGGCGACAGAGGCATGTAGTCTAGATGTACCCTTAGTTTCAGAAGTAAACATACAGGGAAAAACTCTGGCCCCATTGAAATGGCTGGCAAACTTCCCATTGACTCCAATGGAGCCAGGATTTCACTCCTGGAATCTAAAAACATCTAATTTATGAACAATTTATAAAATTAATTTGAATTTTCTGTTTAATATACAGAAATTTCATTAAAATGACTGTCAAGTCAATGAAATATAAAGTGTAAGTTAAAACATAATTAGAAGTAACATGGAAAAAAAGAACCAGATTCTGTAAAGACTTACATGCAAAGTTCAACTTAATCACAAAAAAAGCAGTCATGTAGCACTACTGTTTTTTGTGTTTTACCAAGATCAAACTAACACAGCTACTTCTCTGTTACTATTAATCACAAAAGTAGTATAGTCATACAACTGAAGTGGCTCACATGACTAAATTAATGCACAATTTAAATTATTAATTTAAAATAATATAGGTTTTTAAGAAGTATGATGACACTTTAAAAATAACAAAATTATTCTGCCTTAAGATGAGAGGGTTATGTACACAGGTATCTAACTTAGGCTCATGCAATCACACTGAGTGTTGTTCAGTACAGTCTTGTATAAAATACAAAATAACTGAATTTTAAAATAGCATATGATTTTTAAAAGTAAAATCCTTCCAAATATTTAACTATATTTATTTTAATAAAGATTATTATTTGAAACAAAAACTTGTATTTACCCAACATTACTGCATCTACTGCTCCGCCGGCACAAAATTCAATCAGGATCTGTGTATAAATAAAAACCACAGGTAAAAATAAAGCTCATTTACTGAATTGGAGGGTCGCCTACAGGTGAGAGAGCAAAGGACTTGGAATCAGGAGGCTTGGGTTCTATTTCCTCTTTTATCCCTAGCATGCTGTGTGACCTTGATAAATCACTTAAGTAACCTCTGTAGTACAGTGATATTAGCTAACTGAATGTGGCACTGCAAAGTTTAAGTAAATTGAGTGCAAAGTGCTTGGAGATCTTTAGACAAAATGTGTTAATCTAGGTATAAAAATTCCACAATAAAAGGATTAAAGTCAACTGGAATCTGATTGGCTGTGTGTGTGATTTGCATAACCACCATACAGTCATTTTCCAATAACTATGCTTTTCTGCTGTACTATAATCCCTCTTCTGATTTGAAAATTCTGAGTATAGGAGCCAAAACATTTTTAATAGTAGAAATACCTGCCTTATCTTCATTTCCTTTAGATGAAACAGAAGTATAGTATTTACATGAAAGAAAAGACATCAAAAATAAAAGGAAAAAGACTTGTCATATTTTTAAAGGGAAAACAAACCCCTTTGACTTGTTTTTCTCTTCCTTCAATTCATGTGGCTGGAACAGTCCCACACAATTGGGGCTAAGAGCCGGCAGCCAGCCCTGTGAAATGGGGCTGGGACTGGAGCCAGAAGCCAGCCCTTTGCGTGACTGGAGCTGGCAGCCTGCACCACATGGGGCTGGGGTTGGGAGCGGGAGTCCCATAGGCTGGGGTCTGATCTAGTTAGGCTGGAGCAGTCCTCCACCCCACCACTAAGCCATACCACTTACTTAGTTGATTAACCACTTAAATGTAAGGAAATGTTCCCTCCAGCACCATCTCCGCAGGGGGCAGGAGAAGCAGAGGCATCTCGAATGCTGTGCCTCTCCCTCTGAAATGTACAAGGGTGGCACTTGTACATTTCAAAGGGAGAGACATAACGTGGAATCCATGCCCCCTATGACCGGGAATCTAGGCAGTCCCACTGAACCTCTTCCTTTGAAATATACAAGAGTCGTGAGTGGCTATTGTACATTTCAGAAGCAGAGGTACAGTGGGATAGTGAGCGCCCCATTATCAACTAATCGAGTAGTTGATGGAAATTCCATCAACTACTCGATTAGTTGATTAATCAAAATTTAACACCCCTAGTCTGGGATGGAGGATGGGAGCAGAAGGGAACTCTGAGTAGGGAACTGGGGTGTAGGAGAGCATGTGGGGCCTGGGAGGGGGGTTTGGGTGAAAGAGGGGGTTGTGACCTGGAGCAGGAGATTAGGGTGCAGGAGAGAGTACAGGATCTAGGAGGGGATATGGGTATTGGTGCAGAAGATGATTCTGACCTGGAGGAGTGGTTATAAGAGGGGGTGAAACATCTGGGAAAGGGTTGTGACTTGGGGCAGGGGATTGGGATACAGGGTTTAGGAGAACTTGGGTTGTGACCTGGGGCTGGGATGCAGGAGGGGAAGCAGAGGGTTGGAGGGAAGGGCGGTGCCAGGTGCAGGCTCTGTCTGGGAGGCACTAACTTGGATGGGAATTCCACAGCCTCCTTTTGAAGTCTATTCCAGTCTAATAATGATATTGTAGGTGGAAATATCTTATTACACATGACTTTTATGATCTACTATACATTTGAGAGTTTGTGCGTCTGTTCGTTCACAAACTCCTCCTAAATGGTAAGAGCTAGAGACACATACTCATGAATGACCACAGGGAGACAGCAAGCACAGAGGACAGTTATACCTCAGAATGGCCACAGAGGGGCAGCAAGCGCCTCAGCTCCGGGGAGCAGCCACTGGCTACCAGCATGGTCCCTGCCATCCCAGCCAGTCCCGGGGAGTAGCTGATGCCCCACCTCCTGTCCTGGACTCCTCCCCACTTCCTTGAGCCCTTCCACAGCTCCAAACCCCTTGACCTGACTCCTGTATCCCCATCCCCTGCCCTGAGCTCCCCACCTCCTGATCTGACTGCTGCACTCCACTCCCCACCCCTAGCCTGAAGTCCTCCTCCCTCTCTCCCTCCCCTCACACACACCCTTAGTTCCCTGTCCTAAAGGACCCAAGCGATGCCGAATAGGTCTTCTAGTTCTCTATATTTACTAAACTGCAAATTAATTAGTAGAGTATCTAAGTACATTCACTTTATGTGTGAAATCTGCGCAAGATACACTGAAAGGCCTGGATCTTCAGCAAATTGTGGGCCCAGTTCTGAGAGACGCAAAACACATCTGCAAATTAGTAAGTGCCCTCCAGGTCCACTAAAATCACTGGAAATTGAGGTTGATCGGCACCTTCACAAGATCGGACTTGATAAGCCCAAATTTTTATTTTATTTTTAATTATCTGGTGATCAAATATTCTTGCTATTTCAGAACTGAGCTGGTGGACTTAAAACTTGAATTCAGCAGTTTACAAACAAGAAATGTCTAAATCCTCTCCATACATGGAAATAAATGATCAAGTTCTAAGGTTTAGATTCAAATCAGAATTGCTGTTAAAGTCAGAACTGAATAGATGACTCAGTATAGCTTAATTTCATCTTACTGATTTGCTAGAAGATGCTTTAACACAGTAATCATGTGTCTTGCAAGCCAGTTGTAAAATTGTGGATAATTATCCTGATATTAGTACCAATGTAGAAAAGATTTGATGAAATAAATAAGAAATTTTATATAATAAGTTGGGGGAAAACCTAAAGTTCAATGTTTTTATATAAATAGCAGAACTGTATGCAAAAGAAACACCTACCCAAAGATTGTTTTCATAGTAGAAAGCATCTAGAAGCTTGACAATATTTGGATGATCACATGATGCCAGAATATCAATCTCAACCATGTAATCTTCTAGTTCTTCCTCAGATTTAGTATCAATCACCTTTGCGGCAGCAAGGACTTTGGTTTCTTTGTTCTGAGCCTGTAAAAGGAAGTCATAGCTCCATTAACATAGGAACGTCTCAATTTTGAAGATATTCAAAATACACATGACAAACTTAATTTCACCTCAAGATTCTGTTATAATTAGTACACTACTGTAGCATTTTGCTATCTTCAAATATTTACTCATTAATCCTCAACATACCCCACAGATGACAACGTATATTTCATGCTGGATAAACTGAGACATATGGAGGTTTGATAACTTTCTTAATGAGAAACAGAGAACTTGCAGAGGCAAAATACACTGATGCAGATATAAGCTCTCTAGAGTAGGCATTCTAAGCCAATGGGAGAGTGCTCTCTCATTTGCTTAATTACTCCAACTCCTGTGAGATGAGCAGTGGGAAAAGCTTTCCCACCAACATACTGCTGCCCACACTGGCTTTTAAATGGGCATAAATTATGTTGCTCAGGGATGTGGCTAATTCACATCACTGAGGGACATAATTTATGTTGATATAAGCTGTAAGGTAGTCCTAGGCAAAGGAGGAAGCTCTCATCTCCTGTCTTTCTGCTAGGTTAGAAGTAACTGTTCAGAAAACACCCTAAACTAAATACCTACTCATGCTTATTTACAATCTTAAATCTTAGTAACTGAACTAAAACTATACTGGATCTTGGAGTAGTAAGAAAGGAAACACAAAGGGAAAACTTTTTTCGAAAGAGAGCAGCTACACAACAAAAGCATAAGAGAAAAGCAATTGGCTTTTTTGAAAGATAGCATCCAGTCAGCGTGGATGCTCTCTCACATTTAAGTTGTGATTACTGTGGATGAGGTGGCCACCAGGGCACCTGTGCTTTTTCCTGGAGGCCTCTTCTTTTGAAAAAAACATTCTCTCCCACATCGACACACATCTTTTTCTGAAAAAGCTATTTTGGAAAAAGGTTTCCTCCTCACAGAATGAGGTTTATTGCCGTTAGAAAAACCCCTGCATTCTTTCGACTTTGTTTAAAGAATGCAATAGCAGTGGACGTAAATATTGTTTTTTCCGGAAAACTCTACAATGTAGACATACCCTTAAAATGACAGTTCAGTTCCAATAGTATTAGCATAACTGGTAGCTCTAGCATAGATGTCTATCTGCTGGTGATGGTGTTTAAAAGATTCTGGCAGCCTGTCCTACACTAACACCGAGGCAGCTGAACTGTGTATAGCAATGGTGGCCAGGCTCGTGTTGGGGGCGGCCCATGGCTGCTCTGGGGGCCAGAACCAAGGCCATGTGGCCACAGCAGCTGCTCTGCCATGGTCGGAGCCCTGTGGCACCTGGACCAGCATGTTAGACTGGAAGCAGTGGTACTTGCTACAAATCCTCACATTCTCTTTATTATGTATCCTCCTACTCTGCTCAAAGGCTTTAAGAGGACCTTTCGTTACCTGCTTTCAAGCCAGCTTGTAAAGCTGGCTGAAAGGTATGTTTTTGTCTGGATAGGTAGGAGCAAAAAATGCAGATGCACCTTGGAATGTGTTAATTTGTGTCAATTTTGGCAACTTGTTTCAGCGCAAATAACTTAATTTCAACATTTTGAAAACAATGCTTCAATTTCAATCCAAAGTGATATTTTGTTCAGAAACTCTCTTAAATTTTCTTAACAATCCAAACATTTAAAATGCTCAAAACTGAAATAATTTTACTTATAAGAGTCCACAATGTTTGGAAACCTGAAACAAGTCTCCCTCCCCGTTTTTGCTGGCAATTCTCAAAAAATCCAAGAAACTGCTTTATTAGCACAGCTCTGTATCACTTCCTTGAACCTAGGCAACTCAACCATGCTCTGCATTTTTAAAAACACACTAGAATAGCCTTAAGTCACTGGGACTCACAATGAACTTAATGGGCAGGGGGAGAAGACCCAAAACTATATTTCTAGTAGCAATAAAGACTAGAGTGCACCAATTACGCACAATGGTGTATCATTTCACATTTGGTTCCTGTGAGTTGGCATGCTAATATGATATGGCCTCCTATGGCCAGATGGAGCACTAACATCTAACGTCAGTACTGGGCAAATTAGTTGAAACTATAGTAAAGAATAAAATTGTCAGATACATAGATGAACATAATTGGGGGAGGAGGGGAGAAGTCAACATGGTTTCTGTAAAGGGAAATCATGCCTCACTAATCTACTTGAGTTCTTTTAGGGGGTCAACAAACATGTGGACAAGGGGGATCCAGTGGATCTAGTACACTTGGATTTCTAGAAATTTGCGCAAAGACTTTTGCCCGAACGGGAGCAACATAGTATTTCCGCAAAAAGGCCTCATTTCTTACAGTAGGGAGTCAGTGCTTTTGCGGAATTTCAAACGGCCAGTGTAGACAGCTGGCAAGGTTTTCCGGAAAAGCGGCTGATTTTCCGGAAAAACTGGCCAGTCTAGACACAGCCCAGATGTATTGATCTAGAGAAAGGCATCAACAGGGAGGTGGCAAAATTTGCAGATGACACTAAATTACTCAAAATAAATAAGTCCAAAGCAGACTGTGAAGTGCTTCAAAAGGATCTCACCAAACTAAGTCTTTGGGCAAAAAAAATGACAAATGAAATTAAATGTTGATAAAAGTAATGCACATTGGAAAAAATAATCCCAATTACAGGCAGTCCCCGGGTTACATGGATCCGACTTACATCGGATCCCTACTTACAAACGGGGTGAGGGAACCCCGCACTAGCTGCTTTTCCCCGTATCAGACCAGGGAGATACAAAGCTAGCGCCCCACCCAGCAGACCAGGGAGACGCGGAGGGGTGAGGCAACCCCGCACTAGCTGCTTCCCCCCAGCAGACCAGGGAGACGCGAAGCTAGTGTCCCCCCCGCCCAGCAGACCAGGGAGAGGTGGAGCGGCTTTTCTCAGCAGACACTTCAGCTTGAGAATAAAGGGCTGAGGGAAGTGAGGTGTGGGAGAATAAAACTGAGCTCTGGAGAAATGTTTGGCTAGAGTTTCCCCTACAATATGTACCAGTTCCGACTTACATACAAATTCAACTTAAGAACAAACCTACAGTCCCTATCTTGTACGTAACCCGGGGACTGCCTGTATACATACAATATGATAGGGACTAATTTAGCTACAACTCCTCTAGAGAGATCTTGGGAGTCGTCGATAGTTCTCTGAAAACATTCACTCAGTGTGCAGCAGCACTCAAAAAAGCAAATAGAATAATAGGAATCATTAAAAAAGGGACAGAGAGTAAGACAAAATATCTTATTGCCTCTGTATAAAACCATGGACACCCACATCTGGAATACTGCATACAGATGTGGTTGCCTCATCTCAAAAAAGATATCTTGGCATTGGAAAAGGTTCAGAAAAGGGCAATAAAAATGATCAGGGGTTTGGAACGGGTGCCATATGGAAGAGAGATTAAAAAAACTAGAACTTTTCAACTTAGAAAAGAGAAGACTGGGGGTGGGGAGGGATATGATTGAGGTCTATAAAATTATGCCCGGTGTGGAAAAAGTGAATAAGGAAAAGTTATTTACTTATTCCCACAGCATAAGAACTGGGGGGGGAGGAGGGGTGTAACCAAATGAAGTTAATAGGCAGCAGGTTTAAAACAAACAAAAGGAAGTTTTTCTTCACTTAGTGCATAGTCAACTTGTGGAACGCCTTGCCAGAGGATGTGGTGAAGACTAGGACTTTAATTGGGTTCAAAAAAGAGCTAGATAGATTCATGGAGCTAGATAGATACATACACCTGCAGCATGGGGCAGCAGTCATCTCCTTGGGAGCTAACCTGTGCTGTTGCCTCTGTATCAGCATGGGATGGCAGCCGGCTCCCCAGGAGCCAGGGTACGCCGGGAACCAGCTTTTAATCTGGCTCCTAACTGCTGGCTCTGCCACTGGGGATCCAGCTTCCACCCTGCGCTGCTGCCTCTATATCAGAGGCAGTAGCACGGGGTGGCAGCCAGTTCCCCAGGAGCCAGTGTGTGCCAGGAACCAGCCTTTAAGCCGGCTACCATCCCACCCCCAGGAAGTTGGCTGCCATCCCATGCTGCAGGCTCTGATACAGAGCCAGCAGTGTGGGGTGGCAGCCAGCTCCCTGGGAGCAGAGCAGAGCCTACATGTAGTTCACAGTAACTGATAAACCAAGGGTTATCAGTTAACCACATAAACAGTTATCCTATTACATCCCCATTGTCTACTGATACATCTCCCTTCTTGTTGAGTCTTGTGTTCCAAATAATGTGAAGTCTGGTTTGAATATATTTCATTTACTTCCTATTTGTGGCAGCAGCTATAAGAAAAACATGTCATTATAAGCCAGGCTGGGTCATAAAGACTGTGTGATTATTTTTAAAAAAGTCTTCCACATTTACAACAAAACAAATGTTTCAGAGACTTGCTGGCTGCCACTTCACAGAGTTTCCATTGGCTGGGAACAGAGAACCGCAGCCACTGGGAGCTACAGGGGGGAATGCTTGTGATATACAATGTCAGCAAAATGTCTCACAACCCACAGTCATATTACCCTGATGGGAGACATGCGGCCCACAGAATGTCCACCAGTGACTTCATTGTTTTATGTTAATACATGAAAGTATGAAGGGGTATACAAATATTTAGCATATCTGGCATATAAATACCTTGCAGAGCTGGCTACAATAGTTTCATGCAAGCGATATTGTAAATAAGAAATGGGAAGCATTATTTCCCATACATGGAAAACAAACTTGATTGTGTTAGCAATTGGATGAACAAGTAGTAGGCCTGAGTGGACCTACAGGCTCTGAAGTTACACATAGATTTTTTTTTTTAATATATAATGCACACAAAATAAAACTACAACTGTAAATTGCACTTTCATGATAAAGAGATTGCACTGCAGCACTTGTATGATGTGAATTAAAAAATGTGATTTATTTTATTTTTTACAGTGCAAATATTTGTAATAAAAAATATAAAGTGAGCACAGCACACTGTATTCTGTTGTAATCAATATATTTAAAAATGTAGAAAACACCCAAAATATTTAAATAAATT